AACCACCCCGTCCTCACCGAGTATCTGCGCAGCCGGAATTTCCGGGATGTACACGCGCTTTCGTAAGGAGGGCCTCCTTAGGGGGGGGGCGTAGTGTAAGGAAAATTCCTTTTCCTTACTTCGCGTCCCTGCTCAGCGCGTACACCACTGTTCCCGCCAACAGCACCCAACAGTAAAACCGTTACCACTCGCGACATTCGCCTCGACACTGTTCCCTCCACTGTTCACGGCGCGACCCAATCTCACGGTTCGGTTGGTAACCGGCGCTCCGGACCTACCGCCTCGACATTTCCCAACCTCGGCGCTAGGCCCGTCTCGCACCCCAATTTTCACACATTACCGTTACCAATATAGTTTCGCTATATGTTCTTCGCTCATGCCTTCGCTCATTGTACTTTTGCTTCGATAGTGCAATTCTCGCTCGCTCACTCAATTGCACTCGTAACATTATGCAACAAAGCAAAATCAAAAGTAGTACAATGTAAGCAAAGGCATGAGCGAGCAATATACGGTATAGGCAAACATGCAAACGGTAGCTTGCATGCCTCTGAATATAAGGGTGAAACACCCTTATGGCCTTACTATAAGGGGAGGTATAGGTGTTCACCCTTGTTTTACAGAGTTGTTTTATGAGGCGCCCTTAAACGGAAAAAGAAAATATGATTATTTTTTTTACAATGATACTTCAGACAGGCCTTATGCACTCGCCCTGATGATAAAGACTACTCTCGGGTACCACCCTGATGCGATTTCCGGAGGGAGAAGATGGGGGGGGGGGGGGGGGGGGAGGGGGGGGGGGGGGGGGGGGTACCGACGTGATTTGGGCCGCGATTAGCGGGAGCGGGGGCAGGGACCGCGGGACGCCAGAGACAAGGAGACACAAGTGCATGCGCGTATATGCTACAGGGAGGGGTGACCAAGATGGTAGTGCCAGAGGAGGGACGGGTGCGTGAGCAACTGACACGAGCAAGGCGCAGCTACCTAAGCAGACTTAGTGTGCAGTGTGTTTAGTCCAGTCCCAGGCCTACGTGTATAAGTGGCAAGATGGTCTCTAGTCTCCGTGTCAGTACAAATCGCCACACGCTCGCCCCCAGGTGTGGTGGTGGTGACCATCATATTCTCTCACCAAGTTCGTAGCGATCGAGAGGAGGTGGAGACCCGTGAGGGAGCCAGAGGGGGCCGCCGGACATGGGAGAACAGTGGACCCGCGTGAAATGATCGAGCAAAAGGAGGGGTCGGCCACGGTGACAGGGACGGGTGCCGGGAGCAGGGTGACTTTGATGCAATTGCGGAAGAAGCACCAAGATACGCCGGAGTCCAATGTGAAGGTGAGCTAAGTCTTCGTAGGAACTGCACCTGTGTTAATAGTCTCACAAGCACCTACTCTAGCAGCCTCTACACTACCAGATCTACGCACACAAGAACAATAGTCACCCTCAGCACTGGCACTGGCAGCATACATAGCATACATGCCACCAGACATTTGGTCCCAATCAAGAAAATATACATCTACGCCCTTCTTGAGCAATCCTAACCAGTCACGAATCTTGGCCTGCTCACCAAACTCCGCGTGAAAGGCGTTGTCGAGGCGGTAGAAGCACCGATCCTCAGTGTGCCCCAGCCTGCCGCAGAATTCTCCAGGGCGGGGAACCGTGTGTCGGACGTACTCCGCCTCCGGGGCCGCCTCGCTAGGCAACCCATTCATGGAGGCTGCGGTGAGAGGGTCTCCTGCCAACGTGATTGCTGCTGCTATCCACCCCCAGAACCGCCGTCCTCACCAGTTGCAGTTCCTCTGGTAGCCGAACTAGCCTCCACCCTTGCCAGCTCCACCCCGACCGCCACCCCGCGCCCCCTCCACCAACCCCACCACCCTCACCGCCTCCACCACCTCCCCCCACCTCCACCACCACCGCCATCTCCACTAACCCCACCACCGCCACCGCCACTGCCACCACCACCGCCACTGCTACCGTTATCGCCCCCTCCACCACCTCCACCGCCCCAACCCCTAGGACGAGCACCCTTGCCGCGACACCTCCCACTAGGTGCAGACGCAGCACCGACGTCCCCCAAGGAAGTCAACAGGCCAGCAGAGGCAATAGCAGGCGCGAGAAGGGAGGGGGAAAACCCCTCAAAGAATGAGGGGCGGGGAGTACCACAGGAGGCAGCTACAGCGCAGGCACTGGTCTCGGCCTCAAGGAGACGGGACTCAAGCGAGGCAAGGGTGAGCACAGTGGGGTCTAGGAAGAGGAAGTGGTCTCGAAAGGCACGAAGAGAGTCAGGGAGGCGAGTCGTGAGGAGGTAGAGAGTGAGATACATGGAGGGCTGGTTTTCAGCCAGAAACTCCGGATTAAGAGCAACACGTTAGCAGGTGTCAAGGGAGCGCAGATGAGTCATGAGATCGGCTACAGTGGTGAAGTCAGACAGCTTGGGAAGAGAAACGGCAGCGCAAGGAGTCCTAGGGTGGCAGAAGAGGAGGAGGAGTTGCACTTAGAGTCCGTTTTCAGCTGGCGAAAGTGGGACCTATGGTCGGGCGGGAGGTGAGAGCAGACTGCAAGTTGGGCAGTGGCGTCGCGTGCTAACCACTGTGTATGGGCAATGCGATCAATCCTAAACTGCTACCGCAGAGCCTCAGTAGCGGTAGAGCCAGGTGTCAGTCAACTCAGATGGGGCAGATAGGGACCCCGACGTGTGCTAAAAAAGCGAGGCATCGTCCTTGGTAACACTCTGCAGGTACGAGTGAAGGTCTAGAAGCTAGGACTCGTATTCGATCGGTCGTCCCTCTGCGTAAAAGGTCAGTACGGTAGGCGCCGCCATGATAGGCAGCATTGCTTAGCGACAGTGGCGCAAGGGCGGGAGTGGCGGTGGTGCGGCACACGGGTAGTAGCCGCGCACGGGCGGCAGGAGTGACGATGCGGCGCTTCGGTGGCACCTCCGACGGTGCAACGCACAGGCAGCAATGGCGGTGCAAGGGCAGCAGCTGCACAAGGGCACCAACGACGGTGGTGTGGCAGACGGGTTGCAGTAGTGCACTGACAGCGGCGGCGCCAGGCAGCGGCGGCGCACGGGGCAGCAGCGGCGTCAAGCAGCATCGGCGCATAGGGCAGCGGAGGCGTGGCAGCGGCGAACGAGCAGCGGGGGGCGCCAAGCAGCAGTGGCGCCAGGCAGCAGCGACGCACGGGGCAGCAGTGCACGGCAGCGACGCACGGGCAGCGGCGGTGCCAGGAAGCAGCAGCACACGGGGCAGCGGCGGCGCGCGGGGCAGCGACCGCGCCTGAGCCGCGATGGTGCAAGGCAGCAAGGGCGCACGGGGCAGCGGAGGCGCACGGGGCAGCGGTGGCACATGGGGCAGCAGCGCGGCGACGCCAGGCAGCAACGGCGCACGAGGCAGGGGCAGCACGCGAGCAGCGGTGGTGGCGCACGCGAGGAAGCGCGAAGGGCTTCGCGCGCGGTAGGGCGAACGCGGGGGGCAACGCGAGCGCACGACGCAGCGCGAGCGCACAGGGCAGGGCAGCGTGCGGTGCACGGGCAGCAGCGGCGCACAGGGCAGCGGGAAGGGCGCGCGGAGGGCAACGCGCAGGGCGGCGGGAAGGGCGCGTGCAGGGCAGCGCGTTCGGGACAGCTAGGGGCGCGCGCGGCAGCGCGAGGCATGCAAAAGGCAGCGCCCGAGGGGCAGCGTGGGGCAGACCTAACCTAGGTATGGCAGTAGGTACGTCAGTAGGTACAGCAATTGGACCTAACCTAGCCTTTGATACCATGTTAAGATAATAGGCAAAAGAATGTTTGACCATGAGGAAGGAATTGTACAAGTACTAACCCTATATGGACTACCCCAGTGCAGCATATAACTAATAAATATGTATATAGTTTGACACATTGTGCTCATATTCAACCTTCGATTATTTCACATTTGCATGCGCTCAGTCTTACACAACTCTCTACGAGTCCAATTCTAGTTACACTACGGTCCTAAAACGCTTCCGCAAAGCCATCAATGTCCCATCTTAACAATTCAAGACCCTGTAGTGCCGCAGAGCATGGGACCTCGTTTTCCTACCGTAATTGAAAGTAAAACAACAAGCGTGAATAAAAAAAAATTCATAAATATGTTGCATTAACTATGAAGTTGGTTTTTTTAATGCACTAAACCAGGTGACACAAATAAAATCCCACGCAACCAACCTTTTTGGGGAATATGGTACTATTAATTTGTTATGCTTGTATTTCTTTTAACATTATATTTACGTATAGCAGCTCGATTATTTCGTTCCTCTTGGCTCAATTGTTTTCCGATTTTGAACATATATCTTGTACAAATCGTCAAGATTCGCTACAGTCGATGCTCATCCTTATCGCAGAAGAATGAGGTACAATGATCACGCGTGAACGTTTTTGCGGAAGCCGACATCTACAAGTCATAAACAACAAGGTTTGCTCGCGTTCATCGTCAGAATTGTTGACTGAGTTACAGAAGCATTTTTAGTTTCCATATATTCCTATTTTTGCTGGTCGGGACACAAGAGAAGGTCAACGAAACACCAAAACACGTTTCAGTCCGATGCTGCTCGACTACCTGGTGTTCTCGTAATGAGCACCGATTGTAGTACCACCGTGCAAGGACGGTTTCTGGCAGTTTTGGCAGGTTCCTCACGTGTGGTCCCTTCTGCATCATAGGAAAGCTTGGGGGATGCTGTACAGTCATATCTCCTAGCCCAGCATTGTGGGCGACGATAATAAAAAAGAGCCATGGCGATGATCTGGTGCAACACTTGGATTGGGAGAGACATGCGGCACCCAACTGCACCTAACTGAGACGCCACAGGGGAATGAAGATGCGCCAAGTGTTATGGAATCGACACGCCAGGATTCCATTTCTGAAGGGTACTTTCCACACCGTACGCGGAAGGAGTCGGACACACCAATCTGGTGTTTGGCTCCTGTGCAAAGCACATAACACTAATAGTGAACGAGGCTAGCGGTGGTGTGCAAAAGTTTTGAAGATGATAGCGCGTATGGCAGCGGAGGTGGCGGTGTGGATGGGGCTTGCGGGCGTGCTGGCGGGGCTGTTGGCGTGGAGGGTGCAGAAGGGCTTCGACGACAATCGCAAGGCGGAGCTCGACACCTGGTGCGCCGGTCGCGCGCGCCCGCTGCAGCAGCAGTTCATATCCACGTCCGACCACTTTAAGGTAGCAGACGGTCGACACGCGGTAGATCGACGACCATCTGGCACGTGTAGTACTACTAGTAGGCGAAAGGTATGGTGTGCCGTGTGACATTCCTAGCAGTTCATGTCCGTGGCCAACCACGTGTAGGTACCTGCATTGCATCACATCGCGTCGCTTCGGCTTCATTGCATCGTGTCGCGTCGCTTCGGCTCATTGCAACGCGTCGCATCGCTTCGGCTTCATTGCATCGCGTCGCGTCGCTTCGGCTCATTGCATCGCGTCGCGTCGCTTTGGCTCATTGCATCGCGTCGCGTCGCTTCGGCTCATTGCATTGCGTCGCGTCGCTTCGGCTTCATTGCACTGCGTCGCGTCGCTTTGGCTTCATTGCATTGCGTTGCACACGTTCGGTGCGTAGTCAGTGACGGAGGTTCATTTTCGTGCCGCGCAATAGTAGAATCATCCCTTGGCTTCCTTGTTCCCTCCGCGGTTGCTCCCGCGCGCTCAGCGTTCCCGTCCTTCCACCGTTTGCTCCTCGCACTGCCTTGGAAAGCATGACGTGATCTCTGCCGTCATTCTCGAAATGGGTTTCGACTCATGGCGCGGATTTGTTTTTGGTGATTTTAGTTTGTCGGGGGTAGGATAACAAGAAAGCTATAAAGACAGATAGTTGTAGTAACGTTTCAACTAATGTACACCTCTCGTAAAAATGTGTTGTTTTTCCAGTATAAAACCTTCGTCGTCGCAACTCAAGAGTCGGGTGGGTAAAAGGAAATCACTAGATTAACAAAGATCCAGGGAAGGGGCAATCGGGGTGGTGGGAAGGTGGTTGTGCATTTCTCGTGCTCCTCCATTTCCGTCCCCATGATTCTTCACATACTCCCCACCATGCAGCCCCTAATGTGTCAACCCATGCGCCCCCCCATGCATTCCCATGCGTGCATCAGGCGCCCCCTGTGACACCATCACCCTCTGCCACCATCACCCTGTGACATGCTTCCGTGCCTCGTTGCACCACCACCGCTCCTCACTCACCCAGCTCATCTCCACAAGTATAACCCACCCATCCATCCCCACCCCACTCCACCCAACCCAAACCACCCACACATGCGTGCAGGCGGTGGAGGGGTTGGTGATGGTGTTTGGGAGGATACAAAAGGACCCATGGGGGGCGCACAACAACTTGACTCAGCGGCTCTTTGCCAACTACATTCTCCGCACGCAGGCCGCCCGCCCCTGGGTGCACGCCATTGCCTACGGAGCCTTTGTTAACGGCTCTGACAGGTGCGCCTCCCCCCCCCTCCCCCCGCCCTCAAACCTGCTGCTGCTGCTGCCTTCACTCTCGCCTTCACACTTCCGTCACCTTCTTCCCATGCGCCACCTCTTGCCTCCCGCGTGCCCTCCCTCGCTCCCGTCCCCCGTTCACGTCTCTCGCCGACTTTGTTTTGAGTGTTTCCTTGCATGTGTCGCTGCGGACTGCATGCTGGGATATATCCCAACGAATAATACGAGCTAGAGACTTGGCTCGACGAGCCGAGCTGGTGAGAAGGCGGGCTTGTGCCTCGTCCATTAAGGCATGCCGCCTGAGCCGGGGTGAGCCGGTACGGCTTGTCTTTGTCTGCCGGTACGGCTTGTCTTTGTCTGCCGGTTTCACGCGGATCTGGCATTCGCGCAAGCCGGAAGCTGGATCTGCTGGATGGATCTGGGTCGAATCGAATCTATACGTTTCCGCATCCGGACAAGCCGGAAGCTGCCTGGTTGATTCTGACTGACAGGCGAGTTGATGAACCGGCCGGCGGGTCGATTTGTGACAAGTTGGCAAAGTGGAATCGCTTTGCTCGACCTATCGATGGGCCGAGGTGATGACCAGCGGTATTGGCTCGGGCCAGTGCCCATGCGTACCATGAGCAGCGGCTTCGTCACTTTCTGGGCGAGGTGAAGCGTCAAATGATATTTCACTGCCCCACCATTGCGTTATTTAGGTGAGAGGTTGAGTGCGTGCGTGCGTGTGTGCTTACAACAATACAATCATACCACTGCGCCTTGAACCCAACTGCGTCCTATATTTGGCATGCTGGACAAACCAGATCAGGTTCGGCTCGAACTACAGTAGTTTGCCTGGTTCGGCGCCAGACCCCTGAGCCCTCATCAATCCAAACCCGTTGAGCATTCATCGGCATTGAGAATCCTCGAGTTACAACCTCGGCTTGGTTTGGACCACCTCGAGCGCATTGAGTGAGAAATGGTCGACTACAAACAGGATCCGGTGCGAAGCAGAGCTGCGGAATTTCGACTTACAGTTCCCCGCATGTTTCCCGCATGTTTCCCCTCCCTTCATGGCATTTCGTGGCATGTCCTGCAGGGCGGTTTTTGAGCGGCGAATGGGGTGCACACCGGGGGACATGCAGGAGAGGCCTGCCCCACCCGCAGACTGGTACATGGACATGCGCTTCTGGTTCGACGAGCAGGGCCCCTTCCCCTTGGTTGAGAACAGCACGACTTGCTCCGATGGCCACCTGCACCCGTCGTACGGGCCGGAGCTGACGCGCATGAAGATCACGGGTGCAGCCATCCTCACCACGCCCTATTTTCTAAACAATGGCCATCCCGGCATGGGTGAGCGAGCGGGTGCAGAGGCGTATGATTGACTGCATGAGGAGTGGGCACTCCTCTTCCCAAGCATGTTGGCATGTGTCTCTCCTTGGTGTTCTCTGCATCCCTCTCTCGCTCCTGTCCCTCGCGCTTTCTCGTTGCTTTCTGTGTTTCTATCTCGCCCTCGCTTCCCCATCTCCCAATTTCACCTCTTTCCATTTGGTTGTCCATTTCATCTCATGTCGACTCTCTTTCTCCTCTCATGCTCCAGCCATGATGTTCCCGATCTTCAAGGGCAACGTGACGGCAGCAGCGCCGTGGGCAGAGAGGCAGGCAGTGATCATGGGCGGCATGGCGGTATCGGTGGACTTTGATCGTCTCGCCGAATCTATCATTCTTGAAGTGCTCCGACAAGGTGTGCAGTGCGGTTGGCCGTGGTGACAATGAGCAAGCTGTGCAGTAATTACCAACACCAATCGTGACTTGATTTTTTCAGTAATGTTGTGGGGGGGGGATTGGTACCGTTTCAGGAACTAGGCTGTTAGTGTTTTCGCACAACGAAGTACTCAGTAGGGCACGAGAATTTTCACTGATGAGATTCAAAGGCGCCCACCACCTTCCCTTCTTGTGTTCCCCTAGTGCATTCGCGTCCACGTTTCCACCGACTTAGGGATGGCTTAAGAATGGCATTTCCATTCATTGAGCTGTATGTCATGCAAGTTGCCTAGATGCTGGTTGCCTGCGCTGCGTGCTGCTCCTGTCACACGCTTGTTGCGCTGTGCTAACCAAAGCAGAGCGTGCCCCTCGTGCTGCTGCACTGCAGTCGTGGAGCGTTCCCTTGAGGTCTATGACGTCAACCCCATGGATGGTCCGCGCCTGCTGTACGGGGTGGGGGGCTTGGACGTGCCTCAAGGCGACCCCTTGCAAGTGGCTAAGATCATTCCGCCCTTGAACGAAACCATGTTGCAGCCGCAGCGCCACAAGTCAGTGCAGCAGATCAATTTCACCGACATACCAAGAACATACCAGCTCTGGTGCCGGTGAGTTGCTTCCAGGCATACACTGTCGTTTCTCCCAAACGGCTCCCCTATGGCAAGTCTTCTGGTGTGCTATGCTTGTCCAGTCCGTAAATCTTGTTTCTCTCCCTTCTCACCTCACAGCGATTCCTCTTCCCCCTCACAACCCTACCGCTCACAACCCTACCGCTCACAACCCTACCGCTCACAACCCTACCGCTCACAACCCTACCGCTCACAACCCTACCGCTCACAACCCTCCCGCTCAAAACCCTCTCGCTCACAACCCTCCCGCTCACAACCCTCCCGCTCACAACCCTCCCACTCACAACCCTCCTGCTCACAACCCTCCCGCTCACAACCCTCCCGCTCACAACCCTCCTCACAACTACCAATCCATCACGGAGCTACCAGCGCTGGCGGTGCCAGTGAGTCGCTTCTAGGGACGCGCTGCTCTTCCATTATAATCGCTCCCTTCAACTTCCCCTTTCTCGCCGTCTCCCTTTGATGACGGCTCGTCGTGTCAATCCTACGTCACAGAGCTTCTTTAGGCGAATCAAAACCACTCTTTGCCCATGTTGCACCTAATGCACTTCCAGTCTTTCAAGACCCAATGGAATGCACTTGATATGGAATGCACTCGATAAGGGCACTCAGTATGGAATGCACTCAATATGGAATGCACTCAATATGGAATATGCTCAATATGGAATGCACTCGATATGGAATGCGTCCTATTCAATCAACATCAATTCCATCTGCTCCCATTGCCCCTAATTCGCCTCCCCTAACCCCTAGCTTTCAGGGCTCGGACGAAGCCCACAGCATGACTGCTGTGTTCCTGGGGGTGATCATCCTTGTGGTGGCGGCACTGCTGGCTGCCATTGGCGTGAGCGTGACGATCAACATGCGGAGGCTGCGCGAGAAGACTATTTCTATGGCGATTCTGAAGGAGAAGGCGGAGGTGGCGGAGCGCAACAAGGGTGCACACATCGCCAACACATCGCCAACACATCGCTTGAGCTGCGCACCCCAATCTTTGGCATGGAAGGTTCGTGGCAATAAGGTGCATGGGTGACTACGAGTGGGCAGGAGTGGGCATGATGAGTGGCCATGAGTGCCCATGAGGGGCCTGAGTTTCCTGCGAGAAAGAGCCGTCTCAAAACGTCAAGCAAAGAGTTTTCTTCCTTTCGATGTCTCCTTGTTCTGAAGGTTGTAATCCCGTTGGTGAAGTAAGATCCACTCAGCTGATACAATCACAATCATTCACTGCTCTGTGCTCATGTTAACGCGATCTGTGAGTCTTCACATTCTAATCTCTGAATGCTGCTGTGAGAATTCTAATCACTTCACACAGATCGCCTATTTCTGCTTGCGTTTCTCATGTTGGCCTGATTTTCCTGCGTGTGCATGTGGGTGTGTGCGTTTTCAGTCACATGGCATGTGGATGGGGATGTGCCCAGTGTGCTAGTGGGGGACTACTTGTGCCTGCAGCAAGTGGTCGACAAAATAGTCGGTGAGTAGATTGTCAAAATATGTGCACTGGGGATCCCCGATTGATCCTAGAGAAGAGCTACAGACATGATTGCTTTGGGAATTATGGGCACACTCACCCGCTACTTTACAGACCCTTATCCCAATGGTGTAGTGATTGAGATTCTGACATGGTATCAGAGCGAAAATCTCGAGTTCGAGTTCCCATGTGCACACATGTTGGCGCCCCATGTGTCCTTGCCGCTGTGCCGTGCCTTAGAACATTTCAGTGAATGGGTGTAAGAAGACGTGCACTAGGGATCATATGGAAGGGTTACAAGCACGCTTGCATGGGGGGTTATGGGCGCACTCATTTGCTACTTAACAAGCCATTTTATCCCAGCAGTGTAGTGGCTGAGATTCTAACATGGAACAGCCCAATTATTATTCAATGGCCAGCTCTAGGTGTGGATAAGGTTGGATGGGTTTGCTTGCACATGAAGATGAGGCGAGTTGAGTCGGCCCCCGGTTGAGTTGAGTAGAGTTGAGCCAACGTTGACCCTCGCCCAACTCGACACATTTTGCTCAACTCGACAGTCCACGTTTTGGCCAACTCGACAGTCCACGTTTTGGCCAACTCGACAGTCCACATTTTGGCCAACTCGACAGTCCACGTTTTGGCCAACTCGACAATCCACATTTTGCCCAACTCGACAGTCCACGTTTTGGCCAACTCGACAGTCCACATTCTGCCCAACTCTACAGTCCACGTTTTGGCCAACTCGACAGTCCACATTTTGCCTTGAGCCATGGCTGACTCGCGGGAAGGGTTTTTGTGCAAGAGTAGTCAATGTTTGATTCTGATCTGAAGTCCACTGCCTCAGTTTCACAAGAAACTCCTTTCGTAATGAGGCGCCATTAGCGCCACTCACGTCCAGGTTTCTGGCTCGCAAGAGTGGTTGGAACTGAGACTCAACAAAGCACTAGAGTTTACTTGAGCTGCCCACACATGGTGCCCACATCTACCCGAGCCACCATTGATTAGGCTCGCTTACGAGGTATCCAACACCCAGTCGCACACTAGGCATGAGCATAGGTCAATTCCAGCCTGTGTGTTTCAAGGCATAACGAGCCAGCGAGGCAGGCTGACGAGCCGAGCCAGCAGCTGACCCGACCTGTGTCTCGTACTTTGTAGGCGAGCCCATCAAACCGTAACGAGCGAATTTTTGTGGTCTGAACGAATTTCTCTCCTTTGGTCTGAACAGACTCCCGCAATTCACCTCAGTGAGCCGACAAATTGGACTTCTGATGCACTACACCCCATTCACCTTCACTTCACCATTCTCCACTATTCGTTCTGCGAACTGCCCCCCCCCAGACAACGCCATAAATTTCACGGCCAGCGGAAGCGTGTGTGTGCGGCTGCAGTGCCTTCCCCCGTACACCCACATCCTCACCCACCTGCTCTCCCTCGGCTGCTTCCTCGCTCAACCCACCCCCGGCTGCTCCTTGCCTGCTGCTGCTGCTGCTGCTGCTGACAACCTTGATGCTGCCGCTGCTGTTGTTACCACTGCTGATGTTGCCAGTGCGGCTGTGCATCGGAACGAAGTGGGATAACCACTTCTTAAGATGTCGTTCTGGGAGCAGGTGGGGCAGCAAGGGCTGGCGAGGGCGGTGACGGGCGCATGCAATAAACGGGTGCTCCAGAGAAGCTTGTCTGTGCAGTGCCTTGGGTGCTACTGGCGCATGCCCCAGGTGCAGGAGGGGGGGCCGGAGCAGGAGGAGAACGAGGGGAAGGGGGAGAGCGAGGGGAAGGGGGGGAGAGGAGGGGGAGGAGAGGGAGGAGGGGGAGGAGAGGGTAAGCGTGTGGGGCGAGAGGGTGGTGGGAGGCGGAAGCAGAGGCGAGAGGGTGTGCATTGAGTTGAGTGAAGGCAGGGGTAGTGCTGCATCCTTGGGTGCGGGAGATGAGGAGGAGGGTGGGCGTAGGGGAGTGGGGTCATGTCCTATTGTGCAGGAACAAGAGCGCATGGGGAGGATGCTGTGAGTGAAGCAGGGAGGACAGCACCACGGGGTGGTGGCGTGGGCTGGTGGAGGGGAGCAGTGGAGACGTGGTGGTGCGGCCGGGGCAGAGGAGAGTGCACAGGGGTGGAGGAGGATGCTGAGAGGCAGTGTGTGGTGCTGCTGACATGTGAGGACACGGGGTGTGGCATCGCAGAGGAGGAGCAGCGCGACGTGTTTCAGGCGTTCATGCAGGTGAGCCCTGCCCCTCATGCAGGTGAGCCCTGCCCCTCATGCAGGTGAGCTCTGAGTATGTGCGTAGAGGCACTAAGGCGTTCATGCAGGTGAGCTGTGCCCCTTATGCTGCTGATGTCATGCGGCTGATGCAGGTGAAGCAAGCAGTGCACTCGAAGCAAGGATGCAATGTAAAAGCAATGTTTCACCTCACACAATCATCGGCTGAGTATCGCGGCCTTCCATCCACGTGCTAGTCTTTAGCACACTGACTGCTTGCATTCTCGTGCGTCTCACACCGCCCATCCACCCATTCAGACCTGAAAGCACGGAGGCAGCGGCATGAGCCTGCACTTGTGTCGCCAGCTTGTGAGTCTCCTCTGGCAGTCAGTCGGCCTTTTTTGTCAGCTGGTGGTTTCTTTTTTTGGGGGGGGCAGCTGATGTTTTTTTTTGGGCAGCTGGTGAGTTGTTTGTTTCTACAGTTGCTAGGTCCTTCAACACTTGATGTGTTTTTTGCTTCCAACTCTCCCTCTATCTCATACCTCTGCCACATTCACCCACATTCACCCACATTCACCCATATTCACCCACATTCACCCTCATTCACACTCATTCACCTCATACCTGGTGGTGTATCACACTCACAAACAACCATACACCCCCAACACCTCCTCCCCGTGGCAGGTATCGCTCATGGGTGGCAGCATTGGGTTGCTCAGCACAGAGGGTCACGGCACCACTCTGCATGTCGCTCTGCCCATGCCTGTTGCGCTTGCCACTGCCGCTGCCACTGCCGCTGCCACTGCCGCTGCTGCTGCAGCTGACGAAGGTGACTCTTCTCCAGCCAGCGCCGATGTTTCTGAGCCAGCGACCACTTGTGCTGTTTCTTCCTCTACTGCTGGCGACGAAACAAAGGGCGTGAAGACGAAGAGTGCGAGGGATAGCTTGAAGGAGTTGCTCCAGGGCAAGGCGATTCTGGTGAGTTGCAAGGCAATGCGTTCGGAGACGACCCAATCTAGACCAGGACACCGATTCTCCACCACGCAATGCAGACTAGCCTCAGCACGCTTCCATTTCTTCCTGTTTGTCACTCCTCACCAACACTTCCCCAACCTACCCCTTGGTCTCCTCGCCACACTCCCGGCAACCCACTTCCGTCGTCCCCTCACCTCACCACACTGTGACAACGCGCATGTCATCTCTGTCCGTCCGTTCTTCACCCCTCTCCACCTCCCTTGGATGTCCCTGCGCTCTACCTGGCCATGTGGTGAAGGACAACCCATCAACCGTCCCTTTGTTCTCACCACTCTCAACCCCCCCGTACCCCCCTGTGCGGGCCAGGTGGTGGTAGGCAGCGCCATCTGCGCCCCTCTGTTCTCACCCCTCTGCACCCCCCTATACCCCCGCACCCCTCTTATCACACAGGTGGTAGACGACAATGTGATCAACCGGCGGGTGGCAGCAGCGGGTAACGCCATTTTCATCCATTCATTTCACCCCCCCTGTGCTGCCCCAGGTGGTGGACGACAACATGATCAACCGGCGGGTGGCAGCGATCACGCTGGCGCGGTACGGGGCGGAGGTGGCGCTGGCAGAGTCGGGCGAGGCGGCGCTGCGCCTGCTGCAGGCGTGCCACTCCTTCCGCCTCGTGGTCATGGACCTCCTTATGCCCGGCCTCGACGGCTTCCACACCACCGCCCGCCTGCGCGCATTCGAGGCCGCCGCCCAGGCGGCCCAAGACGTGCATCGCATACCAGTGTGGAGGCCATGGAGAGGGGCTGGCAGCAGCGGCAACGAATTCATGTGGTGGCCATGTCAGCAGATGTAGACTGCACTGTTGCCGCTCGTGCCACCGAGGCTGGCATGGATGGAGCCGTGCAGAAGCCACTCAATGAGAGACTGCTGCTGCAGGTGCTCTCAACACTGAATGGTTTGTAACTCCAATCATGAGTGGCTAGCTGTATCTACGTCAGTGTCCCCGTTTGCTTGTACATGGTATCTGTTTGATTTTTTTTCAATCTATTCATTGTTTACTGTACCGTATGGCCCCAAATAGTGGCGCTTATGCGCTTATAACAAAATCATTTTTTTAAGGGGGGCGATTGTAATTGAGTAACGGCCATAAGCGCCTGCGCTTTTATAAAGTCAAAAATGAAATTCAAATATGAAGGTACTAAATTGAAGCTCATTAAGGCGAATACAAAGATGTGACATGCGCATGGGATTGTGCATGGAATCATGGCGAAACTTGCCGCGATTCGAATTTCCTCCGCACAAAACCTGATCCGGAGCAACGCACCTGCCAGCGCTGACGCAAAAGCTGCTGTGCGGCCCAATCAGGTCGTCATGCACTGCCAGGCAGGAGCATTTCGACCGAACCCTCTAGAAGGGGGTAGAAGATGCCCTGCCAGCGCAGCATGGATGGCGCCATGAACCCTCCTCTGCGGGTTCAGGCAGAGGGGTAACCCTCGTTCATTGACGAGGACCCCGAGGCGCTGAGCTGAAGGGGTCCCCTTCAATCTTTCATTTCTTCCCTCATTCATCCAGTTTTTCATTCAATTTCGGGTTCTCTCCCGCCAGGCTGCGAAAGCCATGGCGGAATTCACGGCACCCATTTCTTGTTCAAGAAGAAGCCTACCGCTAGGCCCGCATTTAGAGTTGACGCTGACGGGTGGTACCGTATTCCCCCGGATAGAAGACCCCCCCAAACTACAACACCCCCGGGTACCTAATACGGGGGGGGGGGGGGGGGGGGGGTACTTTATAAAACCTCGATTTTGTTATACCCCCCTTTTGGGGGGTGATAAATATAAGACCCCCCAATTCCCTTGCAAGGGGGTTTCCCATGTACATTTTCTTTGTTTTGTTCCAAAATGAAACATCCTATAATGCGAATCTGGCTTTCAGGGGGCGAATTCCGAGTGTCAAGGGGCTGATTTGCTACGTCAGGGGTCTATTTGCCGTGTCAGGTGGCGAAATTGCTGCGTCAGGGAGCGCAATTGCCGTGTCAGGGGGTGAAATTGCTGCGTCAGAGGGGCGAATCTACACTGTGACAAACGAATTCGGTTCTGACTGGTCAAGCGAACTATTTGCTAGCTTGTGCTCACCAAAAGCAAACCCACCATTTCAGTATTGGAGGTAGTGTTCAAAACACCAAGTAAAAAATACGTCGTATGAAAAGACCCGGGTGGTATATATTTTTTTTCCTTTGTTAAGACCCCCCCCATTTTTTCCAGGGATTTAGCATAAGACCCTAGGGTCTTCTATCCGGGGAAACACGGTATTCCCATATCCCACCAGAGCCACCACAACCTCCTGCGCCGCCTGCTCCTCCTGCGCCTCCTACGCCTCCTACTCCTCCTGCTCCTCCCGTTCCTCCATCTCCTGTGTATCCCGTGCCTCCTGTGGTCACGGGCAATCAACCCGTGCTCACGCTCCTTCTCCCATCGGCGTTCAACAAGTATCTCTCGGAACTGGACTGCGACAAGCCCCAAGATGAATACGTAGAAGCTCCGGCCCCGGCACCACGATGGGGACAGCCCGATAACTGCAACTGGGACGAATCTGCAGTTGGCGTAGACGACGAGGTGGCTGACACCGAGGAAGAGTGGCACGCTGAGCGTGACACCGACGGCGAGGGTGGCACGGAGGGTGGCACCGAGGCCGGCACCGCTGGGGATGTGTTTCCCGAGGGTGCTTCGGGCGGCGACGACGACGACGGCGTCGAGTATTGGTCACGCGACGGGCTTCCCGAGAAACTCTTGATACCCTCTTTCCCTCCTATTAATCGCAAGCGACCACACCCTGCTTCACAGAACCGTGATGCCCGCCTTCCTTCTCCTAGGCACAAGATGAACGAGCACAAGCGTCAGGCCTACACTGCCACCGAGAAGTTGAAGAGGTCCGCGCGGCTGGATGTTGCGGTGTCAATGCGCTCTTTGGCTCGCGAGAGTGGCATCCATCGCAAATGTCTCACGAACTGGAAGCGCGCCGCGGACTTCCTCAAAGAGGCACGCTCCGCCCGTAAGCGCATGCATGGTTGTGGCCGAACGTTGTGGTACCGACCGATGGAGCTGAAGGTCTACGATGTTGTGTGATGCAATCATATGCATTCACGTTTGTCTTCCTCCCATCACATGTTTGTGCGTTGCATGCGTGGTGTGAGCGTATGCAAGAATTTGTGTTTTGTGCGGTTTGGTTTTTCTGAGTGTGTGTGAATGTTATTTGGCTTGAGCAGATACCTGAAGTGACTCCTCTGCTCAAGAGCTTTCCGACGAACCAAGTATCGCTTCAATCGGAGCACGAACAAGAAAGTTACGAACGTTGGAAGTTCGTATGCTTTTGATATTTGGTTGTGGTGACTATGGGAAGTTGTGGTGTTGACTCCATAAGAGGTATAGACTTTTGGGGGTTGTGAAATTCGTCAACATCACTGTAGATGCTGCCAAGTGGTTGGGAGGAGCCAAACCAGGTTGGCAAGTGTGGCCAAGTTGGGCAAGGTGGATGGCATGGGTTGGAAAGTGACAAAAGTAAAAGTGGGGTTCCTATAGGGAAGGGATTTGGTGTGCTAATGGGGTTTCCTTGGTTGGGGACTCCTTGGGGACTTCCCTCTCGTCCTCCTCTTCCCCTCCCACCTGGTTAATTGCTACTCTAACTCTCTTGTGTGGTTAATTGTAAAATTGTAAAATTGTGAGACTATTGTCAATTGAGTTAAGTTTTCAATGGCAGCTTACCCCCTAGTGCGCCGGAATTGATAACTCAAGAAATACTTCACCTTTTTGTACGATTCAAATTGGGAATTGTAGCCACGGAATAGAGCTACAACATATCTAAGTTTAGTGAAGTTTTGACAGCGTAATTTTCGTCGACGGCGTTTCTTGTGAACTCGACTTTTCTGTCTAGAAACTAGGCCCAACGATTTTGAGATATTTCGGCTCCTAATCTTCATAGACTCCGTCCTTAGTCTCTAACAAGTGGTATCAGAGCTTATTAAGGACTTTTTGGAGAGTCTACTGAAGTGAGAAGACCCTCCTAGACCCACCATGGCCTGTGGGCATGCCTAAGTGGAGTTCTGGAGGTTGGATGTGACTTCCGCTAAGGGGAAACTCTGCCGAAATTTCGTTGGCGCCGACACTTGTGAAAATATTGTGGGACTTCAGTGTGGACAGCAAGGGGGGAGCTGAAAACTGTGATTGGGAGCAGAGGAGATGAGTCACGGGAGTGGAGAAGCAGCTGAGAAGAGGAGTGAGCCGCCACTATCCAAGATTGAGGCATTGGATGGCTCCAACTACGAGGAATGGAGCAGACGGATGAGGAGCGTCTTCAAGCGCTACAAGCTGCTGAAACTTGCGATGGGAGAAGAGAAGATGCCCGAGGAAAAAGATGCTCGGGATCGGTGGATTGAGAAAAGCGCGGTGCTGTACGACTTGATTCTACAGTCGGTCAACAACGACATGTTCCAGCACATCAAAGATTTGGTGGAGCTCGATGACTCGGGACCAAAGGCGTGGAAGGTGCTACGCGACGTGGTTCAGCCCAACACGCTGCCGATGGTGATCGTATTGGAGAAGGAGCTGGCTGCCCTCTCCATGCGGCCGGGAGACGATGTGAAGCCGGTGCTTGACAAGGTCAAGGACACCTATGCGAGGATGGCAGCGGCGGGCAGCAAGGTGTCACAGATGCAGCAGTGCACCAAGATTATCTCGGTGCTCGACAACTCGTGGGACAACCTTATCCCTACCCTCAACGCTCAGCAGGACAAGTGGATGCCTGAGTGGCTACGGCAGCAGATCCTGCAGGAGGACTTCCGCAGGCGCCACACAGGAGGTGGTGATGCAAATAAAACTGCTGAGGGGTATGGAGCTGCAGGAGCCAGCAGAGGGAGAGGGGGAGGGAGAGGCCGAGGCCGTGGGAGAGGCTTTGGCAGAGGGAGAGGGTGCGTGCTGGTACTGCAAGAAGGCTGGACACCCATGGTTCAAGTGTTTCAGCCGGCCTGAGGGATGGGCGCCCCCAGGCATGAAGCTGCCAAGTGGTGAACGTGCACGAGGTGGCGCTATGCAAGGTTCAGGTGCACAAGGTGATGGTGCACAATGTAAAGCTGACCCTGGGATGTTCCTCATGGTTGAGGATGTGCAAGGGAGTGGGGGTGATGTGTGTTCAGTTGGGAAGGTTGTGATGCACCCCCTCACTCACTGGGTAATCGATTCAGGATGCACAAGTCACATGACCCCACGGGCAGATTTGCTTGACGAGGTAAAACCCCCTGGGAAGATCAAGTATGTGGCTGCCGCTTCAGGTGATTTGCTCCCTGTGATTGGTGTTGGGAATGCCAAGGTAATGGGAGCCAATGGGGGGCTTGTGGGGCTGGGGAATGTGTTGCTGGTTGAAGGTTTGTCCGCTAACCTCCTCTCTGTGCGCCGGCTGCAGAAAAGCAAGGCCAAAGTGACCTTCGGCCCAACCAGCTGCCGTGCAAAGCTTGGGAAGTTGCTGCTGTGGGATTTGGAGGAGAAGAGCAGCTGCATCAAGGACCTTTGGCAGCTGCCCATTATCCCTTGGAACGGGAAACCACCATCAACGGCAGCGGCAGCAGCAACGGCTAAAGCAACTGCGGGAGGAGAGGAGACTGCACCAACTAATGGGGCCCTGGATGTAGACAAGAAGGTGCAGCAGCCACAACAGCCACATGGTGAGGTGCTTGCTGGTGTGGATGGGACAGCTGGATGGGCAAAGGCTTCTTCCGGGAGTGGTGAGGCCGATTGGGAGACGTGGCACGAGAGGCTGTGTCACATCAACATTCCTATGCAGCATAAGTTGGTGAAGGATGGGAGC